AGCACACACGCAGACATACACACATAGGGATATATTAGCCATGTGGCATAGGACTAGTAGTTCGCGCCTGATAAGGCAGCTCCTGCCAATTCCTCAAAATTGTATACATCAAATACAGCGTAACAACCATCACATTGGTACGTAAACTTCAGTGACGTCAAATGAACGCGAGGACGTCATAAAATAAGTCAATGTAATGATCCAAACGACTTTTTATCAGTTCAAGTTTTTGACAATAAATATTGTAAATCGCTATTGATATAATGCCTAAGCTTTTGAGATCATCTACATTTGAGTTCTTAAAATTAAAAGATGTATCCAAATCTCTGAGCAAATTATCTGCCTGATGATCGGAAAGTACTATGTGGACCTTTTAGTCATGTACATGACATATTTCTGTCCTGTTTCAAAATGGAGCCGTTACCAGACTTTTGTTACAAGCTTTAAAAAAGGTGTCCATCCAATCTTAACTGATGTGACAGCCAGCAACCAGATCGACCACACTTATTTACTTATTTTGGAGAGTCATAAATTAAAGTACAAGGTGCGTTTATAATATCATTAAATCCAAAATTTGATTAATGTGATTTGAAATTATGAATCTGTACATAAAAGTGCTACATAAGGTAAGCGACAATTAACTGGGAAATCTGTGCCGCTATTCGAGACACTGTCCTCCCAGTGTTACATTTATGTAGCACGAGGAATGCTAAACGTATTTCTAAGAGTAAGGTACGTTATATATACACGTGTACATCGTGTACCTATACATGCATAAACAACCAGATACAGCGGGATACAAAAACAATAGCTGCTACCTGGGTGTGTGACGAGCTGTTAACACTGCACGGAAGTGGAAGATGATTTTTATGAAGTACTCAGCTCGGTGCGGCATTGAGCAAGATATCATTGGTGCCGGTAGCCGACATACCACCGCGAAGGTTAACGACCGTTAATACGAGCACAGTACTTACGTAACCAACGTTTGGTAAAGTGCTGAACTGTGGGTGTATGTAAGGAATCTGAAGTTTTATTGTGAAACTCAATTAGTCGGTTACGTCAGGTCAGCATGTCATCTTTTCCCCCACAAGATGTTATGAAGATGTGTTTCCTGCTTCAGTTTGGTATAACTCGAACAAGGTGTTCAAATACCAAGTATCGTTTTTATGTGTGTTTCGGTATGTCTCAAATGATACTTTTACAGCAAAAAAAACTACTTTTTTCTGGTGTTTTTTTTTGCAAGTCATTAGGTTATTGTCAGGAACTTTGGAAATGCGAGTTTGTTTCGGTATGAGTTGTACAGACTACAGAATGCCATTATTAGAAGAAACAGAGAATAAAACACTTAAATATAAATCGGAACGATTCACAAACAAACTAGGATTACTATAAAACGTGAACATTTGTATATTCAAAATTCTATCACCATTCACGAAATTAGAGAAAAATGTTTCAATGAATCGATTATCAATGTCCTACATTGGGCCGTGACAATGTAAACAGAGTGTCCGTCGTGGCAGCCAATTTGCTAATGTCAGTAGATAATCCCTTCAACGTCATATCCTGGCACTACGACTCACGCGGGGATCTAGCCAGCAATGCTGATTGGAACTGTTTGGCAACAAGATCTTGTTTGATGATTGAATTCAGAAAACATTTCCTTTAACTTGTTTCTGCAGCCTCATCAGTGACATTTCTGTCCACAAATCGCTGATTATTCCCATTCTTCATTAACAAGTAAGCCGTACCACAATACTGACGGAACTCATAACGCTACCAATATTATCGTCACTATGCATCCCACGACCTATTGACAGGCGGAATCCCACCAACACACACTCATGTCAAAGTACATTTGTACATCTGTAGCATCAGGTATGCTCAAAGCTTCTGAACCGGACAAGCACTCTTTAATGTCAGTTAAGTACGCGTCGCATTAGGATTTATCTTAAAGCCTTTATTCGACCTTGAATTTTCATCTGTAAAATCCTATATAGGAGTTAGCATAAATCTAAGAATAAAGAGACACCAAAAAACCGCTTCAGTGACGCAGACCAGACACGATAAAGTATCCACGTGGCAATATACAAGGATGTAGTTACACTTAGTGATTTATACGAGCAGATCATCGCGTACACGGGTTACACAGCAGTGCCAATACATGTAACACATCACACATAACTCACAGTGCTGCAGTAAAATGTTCACTTTTAATTTTTTTTAAATAAGATACGATCTAGGTATAAGAGACAGTTTTCGCAAACATCTAAGGTAGTATTCGCAGAATGTGGAGTATTGTATCCGGAAGCTGTTCCGTATAGTATTGTCTGGGGAGGTATTCTGTCCAAGAGACCTGTTGTCATGTAGCGTTATGATAATAAAACTAATTCGCGTTTCTTATATACCGCTTTATCACAACCTGGTTCGTAGGTCGTCTCAAAGCGGTTCACAATTTTTTATCCGTGGTAATATGACCTTTGCAACCAGCCGGTGCTGCCATTTCGGCGCTCACAGTTAGCATTCAACAATTCTAGCACTGCCCGACCACGTCCTCATTTACAGCGAAGTAGACTGGAACAAGCGATGTAAATAACTTGCTCAAAGAAACAACACAGTGCCGCGACGTAACCTTCGATCACGCGGCCGGCGACCTACTACTAGACTACCGTGCCTCACCGTCATCTCTGAAGGTAAAGTATCCAAGGGACCTTTTTCCCACAGTAACGTCTTGGGGGTATATAAAGTGCCCAAGGGTACTGTTATCCTATAGTGCTGACAGGGGAGGTATATGTCCAAAGGAACTGTTCTCTTATAGATTTGTCTATGGAGATATAGTGTCAGAGGGAACTGTTCTACTATAGTATTGTCTGGAGAGGAATAATGTCCGAGGGAACTGTTCTCCTAAAGTGTTGTCTGGGGAGATGTAGTGTCCGAGGGAACTGTTCTCCTAAAGTGTTGTCTGGGGAGATGTAGTGTCCGAGGGAACTGTTATCCTAGAGTGTTGTCTGGGGAGATGTAGTCTCCGATGGAACTGTTCTCCTATAGTGTTGTTTGGGGAGATGTAGTGTCCGAGAGAACTGTTTTCGTATAGTGTTGTCTAGGGAGATATAGTGTCCGAGGGAACTGTTCTCCTGTAGTTTTGTCTGGGGAGATGTAGTCTCCGATGGAACTGTTCTCCTATAGTGTGTATGGAGAGATAAAGTGTCCGAGGGAACTGTTTTCGTATAGTGTTGTCTGGGGAGATGTAGTCTCCGAGGGAACTGTTCTCCTAGAGTGTTGTCTGGGGAGATGTAGTGTCCAAGGAAACTGTTCTCATAAAGTGTTGTTTAGGGAGATATAGTGTCCGAGAACTGTTCTCCTATAGTGTTGTTTGGGGAGATGTAGTGTCCGAGAGAACTGTTTTCGTATAGTGTTGTCTGGGGATATGTAGTCTCCGATGGAACTGTTCTCCTATAGTGTTGTCCGGGGAGATGTAGTGTCCAAGGAAACTGTTCTCATATTGTGTTGTCTGGGGAGATATAGTGTCCGAGGGAACTGTTCTCGTAGAGTGTTGTCTAGGGTGATATCGTGTCCAAGGAAACTGTTCTCATATAGTGTTGTCTAGGGAGATATAGTGTCCGAGGGAACTGTTCTCCTATAGTGTTGTCTGGGAAGATGTAGTGTCCGAGGGAACTGTTCTCCTATAGCGCTGTCTAGGGAGCTATAGTGTCCGAGGGAACTGTTCTCCTTTAGTGCTGTCTGGGAGGATATAGTGTCCGAGGGAACTGTTCTCCTATAGTGCTGTTTGGGGAGATATAGTGTTCGAGGGAACTGTTCTCCTATAGCGTTGTCTGGGAAGATGTAATGTCCGAGGGAACTGTTCTCCTATAGTGTTGTCTGGGAAGATGTACTGTCTGAGGGAACTGTTCACCTATAGTGTTGTCTGGAGAGGTATTATTCCGAGGTTACTGTTCTCCTAAAGTGTTGTCTGGGGAGATGTAGTGCCCGAGGGAACTGTTCTCCTATAGTGTTGTCTGGGAAGATGTAGTGCCTGAGGGAACTGTTCTCCTAAAGTGTTGTCTGGGGAGATATAGTGTCCGAGGGAACTGTTCTCCTAAAGTGTTGTCTGGGGAGATGTAGTGCCCGAGGGAACTGTTCTCCTATAGTGTTGTCTGGGGAGATGTAGAGTCCGAGGGAACTGTTCTCCTATAGTGCTGTCTAGGGTGATATCGTGTCCGAGGGAACTGTTCTCCGATAGTGCTGTCTAGGGAGATATAATGTCCGAGGGAACTGTTCTCCTATAGTGTTGTCTGGGGAGATATAGTGTCCCAGGGAACTTTTCTCCTATACTGTTTTCTGGAGAGGTATTATTCCAAGGTTACTGTTCTCCTATAGTGCTGTCTAGTAAGGAATAGTGTCCGAGGGAACTGTTCTCCTATAGTGCTGTCTAGGGTGATATCGTGTCCGAGGGAATTGTTCTCCTAGAGTGTTGTCTGGGGAGATGTAGTCTCCGATGGAACTGTTTTCCTATAGTGTTGTCTGGGGAGATATAGTGTACGAGGGAACTGTTCTCCTAGAGTGTTGTCTGGGGAGATGTAGTCTCCAAGGGAACTGTTCTCCTATAGTGTTGTCTTGGGAGATATAGTGTTGGAGGGAACTGTTCTCCTAGAGTGTTATCTGCGGAGATGTAGTCTCCGAGGGAACTGTTCTCCTATAGTGTGTATGGGGAGATATAGTGTCCGAGGGAACTGTTCTCCTATAGTGTTGTCTGGGGAGATATAGTGTACGAGGGAACTGTTCTACTAGAGTGTTGTCTGGGGAGATGTAGTCTCCAAGGGAACTGTTCTCCTATAGTGTTGTCTGGGGAGATTTAGTCTCTGAGGGAACTGTTCTCCTATAGTGCTGTCTAGGGTGATATCGTGTCTGAGGGAACTGTTCTCCTAGAGAGTTGTCTGGGAAGATGTAGTGTCCTTCATTGCTGTTAGTCCTTTTTTTAAAATTTCAAACTATCAAAACAATACTGAAAATGTAGTGAGGAATTTATTCCATGAAGTAAACATTATGCATTAAAACAAATCTATAAATAATATATTAACATACTCTGACAAAGTTCATAAGTAGTAAAAGAAAATAAGTCAAATATGATTAAGATAAAATGGTGAATTGGATAATTAAAACATATAAAATCATTTGATTAAATCCCATACTTTAAAACATTGAAAGGACTTTATGAACATCATGACATGATACTATGTACATGACCATTTCATATCACCAATTACTGGGTAAATTGTCCTCAGACATCATCACAAGCACAATACATAATCATTAAAGATTTCTCCAAATTATTGATATCAAACATACATACATTTGTATATACAAGATAAAATGGGACTCTTGATCTACTAGTGTCAAACTTGATATAAAAGCAAATCTTTGTGCAACTTATTCGGACATGAAGTTCATTAGAATTTAGGTGCAAACAAAAAATCATGATAAATACCCTATATAATATAAACATATATATATATATATAAATAAATTCACGCATTTGTATTAAAATGACAATGAAATAGAATTACATCACTACATTATCCCATTCCACCACTCATTTTTAAACGTGACATGATTATAAAACATTAACTATGTACTCCTATTGTAAGGTTTGTCTCACTAGATCCATGTTTTAACCAAAATTGCACTATCATTAGTACCATATCAACACCAATATTTTTTTAATCCAGAAAATAAAAACTATTTCTTTATAAAATTACATATTTATGAAAGAATGGGAAGGGAAATGGTCATTACATATCCCTCAAATATAAACAGTTCCTGAGGGCAAGCTAAAACTGTAGCCTGGTAAACTTTAAGTCATTTTCCCAGGACAAAGAATTTATCTATCAAAGATCTTCTGTATTGGAACAAATAAGCAAAAGTATAAAAATACAATGTTTGAATACAAAAATATAGCCTGGGAAAAGTCTCTATTTATGAGTGAAGGCATACACTAGTAAATATATTACGCCATCTCTGTGTTTCCTGTGTTCCAGTTCATCACAGTCTGCAATGGTAGAAGATTTTATTGATAGTTTATTGGAATATTTTGTTTATTGTAACATCACATACATTCATGAATAACATTTTTGTACGGGACACATAATTGATCATAAATTGACACTTTTCTAAAGTTAAGTGAACATCATCTGACAAAACTGTTTTCAGTTGTACATTAAAACATATATTACAACAAAAGGGTGGAAATTATCCTTAATGTGGCAAATGTTCAGTTTGAATAAACTGCAGTACATCTAGGCCTCCACCTTTAAAACTATGGACACTTTTTGTATCAGAATTTTTTAAAAACACTGAGATGGTTTCCTCGGACACAAAATGTAGTTATGTGGGTAAAAGTATCACATATACTGTCCATAAGTAATTTTGACAAAACTTTGATATCAGGTAAGTACAGACTATCTGATAGCTGTTTTTTTATTGGTTAAGTATCTGATAGTTATTTTTTATTTGGCAAGTATCTGATAGACTTACAGTATCTGACAAAACTTATTTTTCTTTGGTAAGTATCTGAGGTACAACATTAGACCAATGTTAAATTTGACCTATTGATATCAGACTAAAACAACATTTTATGATTCCTCATCCACACAATATACAATAGTTACATTAATATACAAACAGAACATCCAGCTAAACCTTTCAACGCTGAAGTACCAGAGAGCTACATTATCAACTCTGACCGAAATTTCTGTTGGATTAAATCAACATTGTTTCAACGAAATGTTTTGTGAAAAAAATCAATCTGCAGATATGGAATTGTTTTTTGTGAATTTGATAATGGACATAGAATTGCCATAAATACATGCATAACACTTTCATATATTGAATATCTGCCTAATATCAAAATGTTGGTAACGCTCGACACAGTAATTGAGTTTAAACAATCCAATTAGGTCTTCACATCAAATCCTTTTCTGAAATGGGAAGGATCGAATGATGAATTGAAAATAAAATTTGAAACTTATATGATGTTAGGTTATAAATGAGGACAGACATGAGGGTTATAAATGAGGACAGACATGGGGATGATGACGAGGCAGAAGGGTGGATATTAGAATCTATGACTCATGTGTATTGCATACAGATAAATAGAATCAGCAATCTATAAAACCTGTGTAATGTAGACAGAGAAATAGAGTCTAGCATGCCTGATAGAGAGAAATAGAATCATAATGCTTGTGGGATGTAAACAGAAAAATAGAATCTATGATTTCTGTATGATGTGGCCATGTAAGGATAAATAGAATCTGTAGAGCCTGTGTGATTAAGACAGAGAAATAGAATCTATGATTTCTGTGTGATGTGAAAGGGTAAATAGAATCTGTAATGCCTGTCTGATAAAGACAGAGTAAAAGAATCTATGTTATTTGCATGATGTGGAAGGGTAAATAGAATCTGTAAAGCCTGTGTGATGAAGACAGAGAAAAAGAATCTATGATTTCTAAGTGATGTGGAAGGGTAAATAGAATATGTAAAGCCTGTTGTGTGATGAAGACAGATAAAAAGAATCTATGATTTCTGTGTGATGTGGAAGGAAAAATATAATCTGTAAAGCCTGTGTGATTAAGACAGAGAAATAGAATCTATGATTTCTGTGTGATGTGGAAGGGTAAATAGAATCTGTAGACAGAGACAAAGAAACTGTATGGTATAATTAAGCTAGACAGATAATTCTATCCGCCTTTCATTACATAGACATAGAAATACAATTTTTCACCAACTGAGTGTAATATAGAGAAAGGAATATTTATCTCAAATTAACATTTTTGCCCTGAATGAGGTTTGTAGTTATCTTTTTCAAAACTGTGAATGAACCTATGAAATGTTGGAGAATTATACAACTCGCACCCTACTGCCAGTCTTAGATTCATAACCACCAGTCCTAAACTCATACCTTCAGTCCTAGACATGCACCACAAGCCTGGAGACTCCAACCAGCTGACCGAGAGTCTTAGATTCATACCACCAGTCCTAGACTCATACCTTCAGTCCTATATGCACCACAAGCCTCGAGACTCAAACCATCTGACCGAGAGTCTAAGATTCATACCACCAGTTCTAGACTCATACCTTCAGTCCTATATGCACCACAAGCCTGGAGACCCAAACCATCTGACCTAGAGTCTTTGACTTGCACCTGCAGTCCTAGACTTGTATAAGTACTACCAGTTCCAGACTTGTACTAACTCTTGCATTGTTAACAATGTACCAGCTGGGTATTTCATTCATAGACCGAAGTTCTTTCAGTAGCATAAACATATTAGAGTAAGTGTAGTAGCAGGCAGGATGGGTCTTCACCAGTACTTACAATGTTATGTATTTAATTTAAAGTGTTTTGTGTGATTTTAATAAGGCACTTGTATTCAACATGAGCCAATCACTATACCATACATTACACAAAAAATCATTAGTGTGATTTAAAGAAAATATAAAATTTATTTATTGATAAAATCTAAATCCATAAAAGCAGCCCACTATAAAATTGACATAACTTAATTAAAACACAGGGTAATAAAGCTTCACACTTAATAACATCAAAGGACAACTTTAAGGAATTGCATGACTTACCCAGGAAGTCTTACATAATCTAACCTATTGGCTATCAATAAGTACAGCATTAAACCTGTAAGGCTGTCCATAAACTCTAACAAACTTAGTTATACCCTGGCTTAAATCTCTTTTTAAACCCGATTTTAGCTAAATGGAGACCCAACGAGGTGTGAGGAATACATAAAGCTGACCATCACTGTGTTACAGCGTGTGATCAATAACTCTGGTGAGACCTTTAGTTGTTGTCATCTAGCGGGGGTGACTACCCTGGGGTGGACATTGATCGAGTTACACCCAGACACCGGACGGGGATGTCAGCTTACAGGCAGGGACACATCACACTTAACAGTACATGTAGGAGACAGTACTGGTGACAAATGTGTTTATCTGGGGAATGGTCTCTTATAACCTAGATGTACAGTTGCCATCCTCATTCTTTATCATAGAGAGGTCCATTAGTAAACTAGGTTTACTAATTCTTATTTTCAAGGCTAAAAGCCTACAGAATAACTGAATTATAACATGAACTTTGAGATCAGTACACATACAATTACAGAAAAAATCTCCATAGTTCATTATTAGTATGTCAAACACATTAGCCTGTGCAATGGATTCATGGAATTCAATTAGCCAGTTTCTCTGAAGCTGCTGAAATACACTCTACGTGTACATCAACTCAAATAGTCTTCAATAATAACAAGCTATTTCAGGTGTCCACAGTAGTGAACCTGATCAGGATGATACTGAGCCAGCTAGTGAACTTGACTGTTCTTTACAAGGAAATCAAGGAGTGAATAGGAGTTATACGGGAATATAAGACAAAGGATTACGGCATATAACAAAGGGATATATAGGAACATATAACCAAAGATTTCGGGCTCATATTATCAATGATTAAAGGAGCATATAATCGAGGATTATGGGTGATACACATAGAGGATTATGGGTGTTACACATAGAGGATTATGGGTGTTACACATAGAGGATTATGGGTGTTACACATAGAGGATTATGGGTGTTACACATAGAGGATTATGGGTGATACACATAGAGGATTATCAATACATATAGCCAAGGATTATGGGAGGTACATATAGAGTACATATATAGTACATGTGTGACCCAGCTTTACACTGTCAATGTATTGATATGTTGCTGGCTATTAGGGCCGATGATAGGCAGACATTATATGAGAACATTGGGAGGGTTAGGAGTTTTCTGTATTATGCGCACTAGTTTCCTCATCTGCCTTATGATCACTACATTTCATACTGTAATCAAGTTTTTTTCAGGGAAAAAATCTTGAAAATTGGATCAACATCAGGATTGCAGCACTGAAGAAATTTCCAATCAGATCTAGATTGTCTGTCACTGGCTCCAGACCATTGAAAATCTGATTTATACATCAAATAGAAACAGTTTATCAATCAAGTAAATATTCGAGAGTTTGAAAAAAAATCAATAGTCCAAGAAAGTTAATGCATGATGTCTAGTCAAATTAAACCTGGTATGATCTCCTGATGTTTAGATAGAACAGAGTTATACAAATATAATGCTATTCCTATCTATTCCCATTACAGAATACCTCTGGAATCACAATAGTGTACATGATAATCATTATAAAAAAAAACTATCAAAGATTTATTTATAATAATTACTCTACATGTCTGTAGTTAAAATAATATTTTTATCAACAAAAAGTGATAAAAATGAATATAATAATGATAATAATACACTTCAGTTTTAAATTTGGAAAGCATGTCATTTCTAATAAGAAAGTACAATGTATAATCAGCTATTAAAATGAAAGCAATAGGGAATCAAATTTAAAAGAACATGGAAAATAGATAATGCAATATACATATCTACAGAATGATTCCATGACAATAAGAAATCCATGGCTGGTTTGGGGAAGCCAGCATTACTGTAATGGTGTGAAGCCCCCAGGTAATGGACGCTATCAGTACATGGTTTTAATTCTACCAAAGGAGTATTAAAGTCTTGAGGAAAAATTGAAGCTACGCATTCCAAACGATAAAACCAAATTGTCATAAAACAAAAACAATTGGAATGTTTTAAAAGAGATGGCAATCACTTGGCCTGATTCAGTCGCACAACAATGTCTAAGTGAAAAACATTGCAGCTTCAAGGAAGCCTCTGCTCCCTTCATGCATAGTAAGATTTCTGTGAGGGACCTAATGGTTAGGGCTTGCTATGAGTTTTTCCCTCAACTTCAAATACCTATTTTATTTCTGCTGTATTCGTCCAACTGATGATCACAGTTTCTGACCACAATCTGATTCACAGATCACAGTAGAGCAAACTTCCAATACATAAAAGATTCAGTCTTTTTGTCTTGAATCAAATTATTCCCTCAACACCAATATGCTTTCTTAGATAAACTAATAAATATGTCCCTTAGTTAACACTGGAGTCCATGCACATGAGGTTAAAGTTCTTGCTTGGCTGGGAGGGGATGTCAGCTTACAGGCAGGGACATGTCACGCTTAAAAGTTGGCTGGGAGGGGATGTCAGCTTACAGGCAGGGACACTTCACGCTTAAAAGTTGGCTGGGAGGGATTGATTCTCCCTAATGAAGTAGTACATATGTACCTACATTGTAGCGAGTACAATGTACTGTACCTGGGATATCACACCTACTCTACACTTGTCTCTTAGCTGGATACACATTGTTTGAGTTACATCACTCCAATCAAAATCATGATTTCAATTTATTGTGTATTTCCAAAATGATTGTTTAATCTTTTCAAGTGAACTATTGAAACTTTTTTTCATGTGTCGGTAAATAACATTATCGCAAAACAAATTAGGAACTGGTTAAAATTATCCAGAATGAACCTAGATCCAACATCCATATCAGTCGAATCATCAGTACATGTACTACATTCTGAAGCATTTGATTAATGCTAACTTCACTTGTCTTGAAGCATCATATCTTTTCAGTAGGCTGACCTTTCTTGCTAGTTCCTGAGGTTGGTGTTTTTGATGTGGTGGTACATTTTCTCCAGACTCACGTAGGGGGACAGGTACAAGGCCACGTAGAAGAACATGTTGCAGATGAAGTTAGGGACCACCGGCCAGATGATGATAAAGAAGACACCAGACAATAAGCTCTTTCCATAACTTTTCCCGACTGTTGAGGCATTTCTGAAAATCACAAGTCATAACAGACAATATATAGCTGAGGGAATATGACGTAGCATAACTGATGAGACAACACTCAGACAAAGCATCACCTACAAAACAACATGGATGGTAGCTTATACTATGGGACAAAAGTTCAACAGCACAGATCAGAAAGTAGTGATGTACATTTATCTTAAAAGTCATCAGACAATACCAATGTCATCTAACAAGGCATGTACAATACACATTGTATAGCATTGACAGACTTGTACAAGTATCACTGATATGTGTTAGTATAAAGCCTAGTAAATTATTCTAAACGATAACATAAAGATGTTCTAATTAGATGTAAGGATAAAAGTCTGACCTGTATCCACCTCGTACAAAGTTAGCGATGAAGGTACACTCTAGGTAGGTCTGTGCCATACAGCTGAGTATGACCATGCGACTAATCCAGTAATGGGTACTTGTCCAGTCATAGGCGAAGATCCCGATGAGATAGTAGGGCAAGAACAGGCCCCATGACACAAACTCTGTTAGCTGACGACTGGTCACGTTGTCAAACTAGAACATAAACAACTAACAAAGTTGAATAACTGATCATGACAATCTAAGATCTAAGAATAATTTTGTGTCACATTGTGAAAATACAAAACCAGCAACGGTCAAGGTTAATATGTAATATCAAACAAAAGGCACAAAGGGTTTGCAGATATTGCTTTGACCTAATAATATAAGCTACAGGCTAAATATCCTTACCTATGACTCTTATTTATTCAAAAGGACCTGTTATAACATTTTTACAAAATTTGACCCCAATTACCTTGAAATTCTAACAAGGTCATTTCGATGAACAGACGTGGCACATGTAGCCCTTAATCCCAGCTGGCAACTGGCCAAATATCATCACCCTGTGACTTTTGGTTATTGAGATGAAGTTGTTTAAGGATTTAACACATTTGGACCCTGTGACCTAGAAAGTAGGTCTAGGTCTTTCATTTAAACAAAGGTTGTAGCCCTTCATCCAGCATATACTACTGGCCAGATATCATGACTCTAGATATCTTGGTTGTTTAGAAGAAGTTTTTTTGATTTGTTTAATGTTTTTGACCTCTGTGACCTTGAAAGAGGGTTGAGGTTATTTTCGTTTGCACACTTTGTCACACTCACACCATTGAAGCTGCAAGCCAAATATCGTGACTTTAGGCATTTCAGTTTTCAGAAAAAGTCGTTTTATACAACACCAGCAGCTAGAGGTCAAGGTTCATATGAATTGTCAAAAATAATAAGGTACCAGCAGCAGTAAAGCTAAGGGTCATACGTTTTGTCAAAATACAGCACCAGATCGAGATGTGGTCTAAAGATTAATATCAGCAATGAAGTATTGTACAAACAATTACATTTAATACAGTAATAACTGGTGACATTGACATCAGTCTTCAGAAACAGTTAAACTATTAACACAAACCCTAAACAGAAACAATACTTAGGCCAGGTCCAAATCATTAAAAAAGGAAAATTGGACAGTTCCACCAACCTTTCAGCCAGAATTCAAGAATTTCCTGTTACATTTGTACAGCATAAAGGTCACCAACTTCAAATCATTAAAATAATCTTCTGAATTCTTTTGTTGTTACACAACATTCTAAAATCTGCTGAAAACATGTAAGATCTGTAGATATTTCATCCTAACACCGGTGGGTAGGATGGTATTTGATAACAACTTTGGATGTATTCACTGTGAACAACAACTCTGATGTTTCCACGGATATGACATAATTTCTATATAAAGTACGCTGAAGCAATAGCTCGCATGGGCCAAATGTCCTACCAGCAGTGGCAGGCAGGAAGCAATGTGTGAATCCTCTCATCAGGTTCCACACAAACATGCGATCTTAATGCGTGAAACTGAATATCAATAGTCTAGTTGTAAAGAAATGTTCTAATCTCAACACCCACTAAAGCAGCATTTTATGTTGAACTTCAATCATTTTTCAGGGAACTAATCAAGGAATTAGCATGATGGTCATGATAAACCATAAATTATAAAAGTTTTGCAAGAAAAGAATTCTTAAGTTAATTTACTGATACACGACTATCTATAGAGATCCTTTACACCAGACTCCAAATCATAACAGTGAAATATTTAATAACAGATTAACTTGATGTTCGATCATTAACGTATCTCAGATCTATATAACTATATAGGAGATCCTGGTCCTCCCAATGCTAATCCAGTCTATTTTTAACGGTTCAAATATCAGATTTTTACAGAAGGTTGACACATCCATATATTCTTTCAATTCGTAAAGCAAAAATGTTTTTGAGGATATCTTACACTTCTTATACTTATTTATTACATTTTTGCCAGTGAAAAACGGATTCTATCATCTTGATAAAACTGATATCTTACACACTGTGACAAATATCAAAAGTGATATTTTCAGTGTGAAAATATCACAAATATCACTTTTTGGTATTGACCAATCATAACGGTATTCTATAACGGTATTCTATAACGGTATTCTATAACTAACGGTATTCTATAACGGTATTCTATAACGGTATTCATATTCTATTGGCTGCATTCAAAGGCAACATTTTTTTTGTTCAGATTCAAATGATGCGACGGTAGAATAAGTGGTTGTTTTGGTAAATGTTTGGTGCGCACACTTAAGTATTTACATAAATATACAATTAATAAAACAATTATAAGCAATCATACCAGAAAATAGCAGAAAACGTCGGAATTGTGTTGAGTATCCCATTCAAAATGGCGCGCAGCCTTAAATTTTGTTGTCAAGCGTGACATCATTAGAATATGGCGCTAATTATTACGCTTCTGATTCCCGCCCTTTTGTAATGAATTACATTTTTCATGCTTTAAAAATGCTGCGCACTCGTGAAAAAAAAAAAAATATATATAGCCATGGTCGTGAAATACATTTGGTATTACTGAAGACACCATTAAAAATCCTCTATATATTCTTAGACATTTACTTGATCAGTATGCTGTCTCATATACAGCAATTTTGAAGTATGAAAGATCTAGACAAAACCCACTTATACTAAGAGATAGATAAATAAGAAGTTGACCATAGTGAACTATAATTTCCAGACATTGTTAAACTACATCCTACAAGGGAGCTTTGCTTTATTCTATTTGTGGTACATCTTCTGAACTCATATCATGGCTGAAGCACGTACACCTGTAAGGTGATTAACCGTATCAGAGAGGTATGCACTCAAAATGATTTCAGTCTGTGAATGATGACAAGTCAGTGTTTCTTCTTCTTTTAGTTTACAACAACCTAGGCCTGTGCTTACATGAATTCGGAAAATAAAGAAATATTATTATTAAAATTTGGAAGATATTCCTTATATTTTTCTTCAATAGGAAAAGAAAGCTCTTTTTTGCCATTTTTGAAACAGTATGTTTTCAGCTTTGAAAAAAAGACAAACTCAGGCTATGTTATCATGTAGACTAGTATCCATTTCTATATACATAACATGACAATATTCTAAAGCCAAATTTTTCAGTCCTATTGGTCAGTTTTCAGTGATTCTATATTTGATGGTCAACCTTTGTTGTAGATAAGGTGCTGACAGACTAATCTTCCCTGTATAATGGCCAGTAGTAGTCTGTAACAATGGTCAGGGAGTAATGGTACCCCTGTGGATCGGGACAGGCTGTAAATCTACCTGTTGTGTTGGATTTACACAGGGGAGGCCATAAACCCCGGTAACACTCCCCCCAATATCATTAAGGTTACATATATACATCACACGGTGTTGTAAGATCAATGTTGTCCCATGTCAGTAGTCTCATCACTGGTCTGTCTGGCAAACTCATAGCAGTCCTATCACAATGGCACGAAATTCAGAATAGATGACTTTAAAAACGATTACATTCCGTGTCCTTAAATAACAAATTACATTTGTAGGTTTGAAGAAAAGTTTAAATGTGCATTACAATTATGAAATTACCTTGAATGTTGTACTCTATTGTGTTTTCATTCATAAATTCTAGTCAAGCAAATATTCTGTGCCATTGACCTCTAATTTTGACTTAATTTGCTTGTGAAAGTCCTGAATGTGACATGCAATCACACAAGATATTTACATTCTTGTGGTAATGTATACACGTAGGATATTAGACTCTTAATGCTGTCTCGAGCTGATACGAGAGATTTTTTTAATATATATATAAATATTATCTATTTTAGAACAGTTATGCAACAAGTTTTTACAACTTATATTAATCACTCTTGTTGGCCCGGATGTTAGCACGCAGATTAAAGGGTACTAGAGATTTAAACATGACTAAAATGAAGAAATTTATAATTACAGCTCCAATATAAAGCTACCCTGGTTTTTACTGATCTCCGACACCTGTTACATCACCTGTAATTACATGTAGCGTCTCTTTCTGTACTGGGACTCTGCAGCTTTAATTCATCATCATTTTTTATCCATGGTGCCCCACCACTTGAATGCTAAATACACTGTAGCACCCACCACTTCCATTTTCTACCCCATTTAGGTTATTGGATTTGCATTGGCAAGATTAGAAAAATTTCTCTGAAAACTTATGCTTCGATGAGACGATGACTACATGCCGGGTATATTGAATCCTTCCATCTGTATTAAAGGCTGGCGTTTAAGCTCTTGGCCAGATTTGCTCATAGAACTTTAAAATATTCTACATATACAAAATATGGCATATCAGTTTTATTGGTTTCATATCTTAATTTCTAACAGTATTCATAATCGATTTTTGAATAAGTGGCTCAAAAATAAGGTTATATTGAGAATTTATGATTTTATGTAGGCATCATACATTTATCATGGGTAAGATAATGATGTCATAATTGGTTGTTAAGTCATGTTGTTAACCTGTCACAGATTGTTAGCAGTGTTTCTATGTAGTAAGTTCTCCTGCACTCATGATGGGTCTTGAACTTTTTACATAGTGGTATAAAATAAATTTGGTCAATGAATTTGAGTATAAAACAAAGAAAAGATTAGTTAAGTTGTTTTAATATATACATTATTTAACTTGTTTACTAATTTTTCATTTATTTACAATTGAATTAAAAAATTGCTGATTTTTTGTTTGTTCACATCGATATATACAGCTGACCTGAATTAGTGGCAACATCACAAGATAAACTCAACACTCTGGAAACGTTGCCCTTATAAAGACAAGCCCAAGCTGCCCTCATGTCTCCCTGTGATGAATATCCATTTATACAATCCTGATTCTAAGTCAAGATAACATAAAACATTAATGATATATTTTTATCAGGCAAAGAACAAACAGATCTTATTCTTTAGTCTTTAATATCATCTGGTGGTATCCTCCAACCCAGAGTGGTTTCTCCACACTAGACTGGGGTGCTGATCATGGGATGGCATTCTTTGGAAAATGACTTCTAATCAAGGTCAACAATTCAAAATAATTCTGTGTTAAATTTGATCACACGTCATGTGCTTCTCTAACATCCTGCACAGTTGTCATATTTATATGGTCAAGGGGCAATAACTCTAGTTAACTTTGATAATCACTTGCCACATAGATGCTAATTTAAGATTATATTCCAAGAAAATGCTTGAAACTATTAATGGTTCTTTGGCAAAGAAAAACAACACTTACATACATATATATTTTCTTCATAAATACTTGTAAGCTCAAGTTTGGCAATCTTTGGCATTTCCTCTGACCATTCATAAAGTTTCTATTTTTTACTGAATTTCGTAATTTATCAAAATAAAAAATGACAATCTATTAATCTATCCACAGGTGTAGGTGTTATATCATCTTGAGTGCTGAAAACCATAAGACGATGTAAACATACTTATATCATTGGTTCATTGGAAAGCAAAATACCATATTGACCTCAAATAAGCCCTTCATCCCAACAATGTTACAAAATATTTTTTCTATGAATACACTGATGAGCAGAGATATTGGGAGCTGCATTTAAAGTCTGTGTGTATCTCGTACACAACCGTGTTACTTCAAAAGAGGTTACCAGGTAAGTGTAGCCTTTGACCCTAACTTCTGTGTAGCACTTGACATTTCCATACTATTGTGACAATATAAGCTAAACCTGCAAAAGATTTCATGATATATCTTGTACACAAGTGTTATAGACGTGTTGTTCAAGCAATTAAAAATGCAACAACTCACTTCAACTTATTAAGTAGGAAGTATAACTACAACCGCATTCCAGGAGCGAAATCACAAATTAATTACCAACAAAAAGTATCTATGTTTGAAAATAGGCCAGTGACAGTGACACCAGGTCGTTATGAGATGTGACCACCAGATATTGGATAATGAAGGGTTTACAATTTATCACTTACCATGTTTAAACTTTCCTCAGAATCCATACAGGTGTAGTGTACAAAAGGGATGAATATGTTATCATATTCAAACAGGTACATGAACAATATTGTAGTGCGAGGGTAGTCCTTCATTCCATACAACAACAGCATGGCAAGTCCAGGATGTAGTGACTGTAAGTATAAAATGTACGGTTCTATTGAGTAACCATACATTAACACCAGGACAAGTATAGTCCATGGTAACTTTGTTGTGTAGGTTGTGGTGGCCAGTTTCGGTTTGTAGTTTGTCGTGTCTGTGTTGGTGTGAAGCTGTAGTTTTTTTTGGTGTGCAGTTTGTAGCATGTCTTAATTATGGTCTGTATTTTGAAGGTTTGAAGTAGGTCTTTGTCAGTGTGTAGTTTGTAGAGTCTTTGTCAGTGTGTAGTTTGTAGAGTCTTTGTCAGTGTGTAGTTTGTAGAGTCTTTGTCAGTGTGTTACAAGTTTGTAGTGTCTTTGTCAGTGTGTAGATTGTAGTGTCTTTGTCAGTGTGTAGTTTGTAGTCTTTGTCAGTGTGTTACAAGTTTGTAGTGTCTTTGTCAGTGTGTAGTTTCTTTGTCAGTGTGTAGTTTGTAGTGTCTTTGTCAGTGTGTAGTTTGTAGTGTCTTTGTCAGTGTGTAGTTTGTAGTGTCTTTTTCAGTGTGTAGTTTGTAGTCTTTGTCAGTGTGTAGTTTGTAGTGTGTTTGTCAGTGTGTACACTTGCAGTGTCTTTGTCAGTGTGTAGTTTGTAGTGTCTTTGTCAGTCAGTAGTTTGTAGTGTCTTTTTCAGTGTGTAGTTTGTAGAGTCTTTGTCAGTGTGTAAATTGTAGTAGGTCTTTGTCAGTGTGTAGTTTGTAGTAGGTCTTTGTCAGTGTGTAGTTTGTAGAGTCTCTGTCAGTGTGTAGGTTTTAGTAGGTCTTTGTCAGTGTGTAGTTTTTAGTGTCTGTGTTGGTGTGTAGTTTGTAGTGTCTGTGTTGGTGTGTAGTTTGTAGTGTCTTTGTCAGTGTGTAGTTTTTAGTAGGTCTTTGTCAGTGTGTAGTATGCAGTGTCTGTGTTTGTGTGTAGTTTGTGGTGAGTGTTGGTGTGTTTTTGGCATGAACACTGGTCACATCAGTTATTTTATATTCCCACAGTGTCCCCCCCCTAGAGTTCCTACCTTGTATTCCCCACAGTGCTCCTACCTTGTATTCCCCACAGTGTTGTATTCCCCACAGCGTTCCTACCTTGTATTACCACGGTGTTCCTACCTTGTATTCCCATCAGTGTTCCTACCTTGTATTCCCCACGGTGTTCCTCCCTTGTATTCCCCAGTGTTCCTACCTTGTATTCCCCACGGTGTTCCTACCTTGTATTCCCCAGTGTTCCTACCTTGTATTCCCACGGTGTTCCTACCTTGAATTCCCCACGGTGTTCCTACCTTGTATTCCCCACAGTGTTCCTACCTTGTATTCCCACAGTGTTCCTGCCTTGTATTCCCACGGTGTTCCTACCTTGTATTCCCCAGTGTTCCTCCCTTGTATTCCCACGGTGTTCCTACCTTGTATTCTGCCACAGTGTTCCTACCTTGTATTCCCCACAGTGTTTCTACCTTGTATTCCCCACAGTGTTCCAACCTTGTATTCCCCACAGTGTTCCTACCTTGTATTCCCACAGTGTTCCTGCCTTGTATTCCCACGGTGTTCCTACCTTGTATTATGCCACAGTGTTCCTACCTTGTATTCCCCACAGTGTTTTTACCTTGTATTCCTCACAGTGTTCCTACCTTGTATTCCCACAGTGTTCCTATCTTGTATTCCCACGGTGTTCCTACCTTGTACCCCCACGGTGTTCCTACCTTGTATTCCCACAGTGTTCCTATCTTGTATTCCCACGGTGTTCCTACCTTGTACCCCCACGGTGTTCCTACCTTCTATTCCCACAGTGTTCCTACCTTGTATTCCCCACAGTGTTTCTACCTTGTATTCCCCACAGTGTTCCAACCTTGTATTCCCCACAGCGTTCCTACCTTGTATTCCCACAGTGTTCCTGCCTTGTATTCCCACGGTGTTCCTACCTTGTATTCCCCAGTGTTCCTACCTTGTATTCCCCCGGTGTTCCTACCTTGAATTCCCCACGGTGTTCCTACCTTGTATTCCCCAGTGTTCCTCCCTTGTATTCCCACGGTGTTCCTACCTTGTATTCCCACGATGTTCCTACCTTGTATTCCCCACAGTGTTCCTACCTTGTATTCCCACAGTGTTTCTATCTCTTGAATTCCCACGGTGTTCCTACCTTGTATTCCCACGGTGTGCCTACCTTGTATTCCCACAGTGTTCCTACCTTGTATTCCCCACAGTGTATCTACCTTGTATTCCCCACAGTGTTCCAACCTTGTATTCCCCACAGTGTTCCTACCTTGTATTCCCACAGTGTTCCTACCTTGTAGTCCCACGGTGTTCCTACCTTGTATACGGTGTTCCTACCTTGTATTCCCACGGTGCTCCTACCTTGTATTCCCCACAGTGTTCCTCCCTTGTATTCCCCACAGTGTTCCTACCTTGTTTTTCCATGGTGTTTCTACCTTGTATTCCCACGGTGTTCCTTCCTTGTATTCCCCACAGTGTTCCTACCTTGTATTCCCACGGTGTTCCTAGCTTGTATTCCCACGGTGTTCCTACCTTGTACTCCCACCGTGTTCCTACCTTGTATTCCCCACAGTGTTGTATTCCCCACAGTGTTCCTACCTTGTATTCCCCCAGTGTTCCTACCTTGTATTCCCCACAGTGGTTTTACCTTGTATTCCTCACAGTGTTCCTACCTTGTATTCCCCACGGTGTTCCTACCTTGTACTCCCACCGTGTTCCTACCTTGTATTCCCCACAGTGTTCCAACCTTGTATTCCCACAGTGTTCCTGCCTTGTATTCCCACGGGGTTCCTACCTTGTATTCCCCACAGTGTTCCAACCTTGTATTCCCCACAGTGTTCCTACCTTGTATTCCCAGCCGTGTTCCTACCAGGTATTCCCCACAGTTTTCCTACCTTGTATTTCCACGGTGTTTCTACCTTGTATTCCCACGGTGTTCCTACCTTGAATTCCCACAGTGTTCCTACCTTGTATTCCCAAGGTGTTCCTACCTTGTATTCCAACGGTGTTCCTACCTTGTATTCCCACGGTGCTCCTACCTTGTATTCCCCACAGTGTTCCTCCCTTGTATTCCCACAGTGTTCCTTCCTTGTATTCCCCACAGTGTTCCTACCTTGTATTCCCCACGGGGTTCCTACCTTGTATTCCCCACAGTGTTCCTACCTTGTATTCCCAGCAGTGTTCCTACCAGGTATTCCCCACAGTTTTCCTACCTTGTATTGCCACGGTGTTTCTACCTTGTATTCCCACAGTGTTCCTACCTTGTATTCCCCACAGTGTTTCTACCTTGTATTCCCCACAGTGTTTTTACCTTGTATTCCTCACAGTGTTCCTACCTTGTATTCCCACAGTGTTCCTACCTTGTATTCCCACGGTGTTTCTACCTTGTATTCCCACGGTGTTCCTACCTTGTATTCCCACGGTGTTCCTACCTTGAATTCCCACGGTGTTCCTACCTTGTATTCTCACAGTGTTCCTACCTTATATTCTCACGGTGTTCCTACCTTGTATTCCCACGGTGTTCCTACCTTGTATTCCCACAGTGTTCCTACCTTGTATTCCCCACAGTGTTTTTACCTTGTATTCCTCACAGTGTTCCTACCTTGTATTCCCACAGTGTTTCTACCTTGTATTCCCACAGTGTTCCTACCTTGTACTCCCACGGTGTTCCTACCTTGTATTCCCACAGTGTTCCTACCTCGTATTCCCCACAGTGTTCCTACCTTGTATTCCCCACAGTGTTCCTTCCTTGTATTCCCCACAGTGTTTTTACCTTGTATTCCTCACAGTGTTCCTTCCTTGTATTCCCACAGTGTTTCTACCTTGTATTCCCACAGTGTTCCTACCTTGTATTCCCACGGTTGTCCTTCCTTGTATTCCCCACAGTGTTCCTACTTTGTATTCCCACAGTGTTCCTACCTTGTATTCCCCACCGTGTTCCTACCTTGTATTCCCACAGTGTTCCTACCTTGTATTCCCCACGGTGTTCCTACCTTGTATTCCCACGGTGTTCCTACCTTTCATTCCCACAGTGTTCCTACCTTGTATTCCCCACTGTGTTCCTACCTTGTATTCCCCACGGTGTTCCTACCTTGTATTCCCACGGTGTTCCTACCTTGTATTCCCACGGTGTTCCTACCTTGTATTCCCACGGTGTTCCTACCTTGTATTCCCACGGTGTTCCTACCTTGTATTCCCACGGTGTTCCTACCTTGTATTCCCACGGTGTTCCTACCTTGTATTCCCACGGTGTTCCTACCTTGTATTCCCACGGTGTTCCTACCTTGTATTCCCACGGTGTTCCTACCTTGTATTCCCACGGTGTTCCTACCTTGTATTCCCACGGTGTTCCTACCTTGTATTCCCACGGTGTTCCTACCTTGTATTCCCACGGTGTTCCTACCTTGTATTCCCACGGTGTTCCTACCTTGTATTCCCACGGTGTTCCTACCTTGTATTCCCACGGTGTTCCTACCTTGTATTCCCACGGTGTTCCTACCTTGTATTCCCACGGTGTTCCTACCTTGTATTCCCACGGTGTTCCTACCTTGTATTTCCCACAGTGTTCCTACCTTGTATTCCCCACAGTGTTCCTACCTTGTATTCCCCACAGTGTTCCTACCTTGTATTCCCACCGTGTTCCTACCTTGTATTCCCCACAGTGTTCCTACCTTGTATTCCCCACAGTGTTCCTACCTTGTATTCCCACGGTGTTCCTACCTTGTATTCCCACGGTGTTCCTACCTTGTATTCCCACGGTGTTCCTACCTTGTATTCCCACGGTGTTCCTACCTTGTATTCCCACGGTGTTCCTACCTTGTATTCCCACGGTGTTCCTACCTTGTATTCCCACGGTGTTCCTACCTTGTATTCCCACGGTGTTCCTACCTTGTATTCCCACGGTGTTCCTACCTTGTATTCCCACGGTGTTCCTACCTTGTATTCCCACGGTGTTCCTACCTTGTATTCCCACGGTGTTCCTACCTTGTATTCCCACGGTGTTCCTACCTTGTATTCCCACGGTGTTCCTACCTTGTATTCCCACGGTGTTCCTACCTTGTATTCCCACGGTGTTCCTACCTTGTATTCCCACGGTGTTCCTACCTTGTATTCCCACGGTGTTCCTACCTTGTATTCCCACGGTGTTCCTACCTTGTATTCCCACGGTGTTCCTACCTTGTATTCCCACGGTGTTCCTACCTTGTATTCCCACAGTGTTCCTACCTTGTATTCCCACAGTGTTCCTACCTTGTATTTCCACAGTGTTCCTACCTTGTACTCCCACAGTGTTCCTACCTTGTATTCCCACAGTGTTCCTACCTTGTATTCCCACAGTGTTCCTACCTTGTATTCCCCACGGTGTTCCTACCTTGTATTCCCCACAGTGTTCCTACGATGTATTCCCCACAGTGTTCCTACCTTGTATTCCCACGGTGTTCCTTTCTTGTATTCCCACAGTGTTCCTACCTTGTATTCCCCACAGTGTTCCTACCTTGTATTCCCACGGAGTTCCTACCTTGTATTCCCACGGAGTTCCTACCTTGTATTCCCCACTGTGTTCCTACCTTGTATTCCCACAGTGTTCCTACCTTGTATTCCCATAGTGTTCCTACCTTGTATTCCCACAGTGTTCCTGGCAGCTTTGTCCCTTTATCTGCTAACTCATGTAGGGATCGCAGCAAAACCTTCATTTGGAGACTGTCTGTGATATTCAATTTTTGTGCAAAATCAGATTCCTCCATAACCAGAAGTTGTCTTCCATCTGAAAAAATGAATATGCAGAAATATAAGATATATTGTGAAGTAAAATTTAAATAAAATGCACAGCTTTTTTATAGACACATCTTAATCACTGATAAGTGAAGTCAATACTACTAATGATGATAAACTAAAAGGAACTTTTTGTTAGTAATTTTCACTTATCATTCAACTCCATCCTTTTCATAACTAAAGGCTAATGATGATACTGCAGTAATTTGACCGTGGGTTATAGAACGTACCAATGAGTTGCTCTGTTGCCTTGTTGGCATACTCAGCACTCCAAGCACCTAGCTCTCCCAACCAGGTGCCAACCTCCTCGGGATCCCATCGCTGGGCTGGCTTGTATACCAACATTCCACTGTCACTGTTGTAGCCCCAGTACCAGCCCACATATATCAACTGTAATAACCATTTACTATATATTTATCGTATATTTACATATACAACAAGCTTTGTTTTCTTTTTATCAGTTTTTTAATTCTAAAAGTAAACAATTTAAGGCAATAATTTGTTCCAATCATACTCAAAATCTAAAATGAGAAAAAACAAAAAGAACAACTAAATATGTATATCATTTAAACAAGAGGCCCAGAGGGCCTGTATCGCTCACCTGCATATTTAAGCAGTCATTGCAAAATATTCTCATTATACTGTACTACAAATATTTCACTTGAAACTTGTTCTGCTCCATCTGTTGAAGCTACATGAGGCAAATATTATGATATATGATTCTATGCTTTTTGGTTCTTCTTCAGAAGTTACATTGTATTTGAAATATTTTTCCTTTTGGTTCTTCAGAACAAATCGTTTGAAATGTTGTTGACTTCTGTGACCTTCAAAGTAGGTTGAGGTCATTTTCATTTGCAAACATTGGTGAGCTCTATACCAAGAAGCCACAAGCCAAATATTATGATTCTATGCCTTTCGATTATTCAGAAGGAGATGTTTGATGTTTTTGACATATTTGACCCCTGAAACCTGAAAGTAAGTCACGGTCATTTTCATTCTCAAACGTTGTTGTGCTCAATCTAAAGATGCTACCAGCCAAATATTAAGATTCTACAGCAAAATATTAAGATTCTTTCTACAGCCAAGTATTAAGATTCCAAACTTGTTGGACTCCACCCCAAGAAGCTTCCAGCCAAATATTAAGATTCTATAACTTTCAGTCCTTCAGAAGAAATTGTTTTAAGTGTTTGACATATTTGGCCCTGGTGACCTTGAAAGTAGGTCAAGGTCATTTTCATTCTGAAACTTTGTCGGGCTCTTGCCCAGGAAGCCACCACCCTAATATGAAGATTCTATATCTTTCAGTTCTTCAGAAGAAGTCGTTTAAAGTTTGACACATTTGACCCCTGACACCTTGCAATTGAAAGTAAGTCAAGGTCATTTTCATTCTCAAACTTTGTCTGGCTCTATCCTAGGAAGCCACCAGACAAATATGAAGATTCTATACCTTTCAGTTCTTCAGAAGAAGTTGTTTGAAATGTTTGACATATTTGACCACTGTGACCTTGAAAATAGGTCAAGGTCATTTTCATTCTCAAACTTTGTCTGGCTCTATCCTAGGAAGCCACCAGCCAAATATGAAGATTCTATACCTTTCAGTTCCTTAGGAGAAGTTGTTTGAAGGGTTTGAAATATTTGACCCCTGTGACCTTGAAAGTAGGTCCAGGTCATTTTCATCTTCAAACTTTGTCAGGCTCTATCCCAGGAAGCCACCAGCCAAATATGAAGATTCTATTCCTTTTAGTTATTCAGAAGAAGTTGTTTGAAGTATTTGACCCCTGTGACCTTGAAAGTAAGTCCAGGTCATTTTCGTTCTTAAACTTTGTTTGGCGTCTACCAACAAAGCTCTCAGCCAAATATCATGACTTTAGGCCTATCCGTTCATCAGAAGAAGTTGTTTAAAGGAAAAATTGATGGACTACAACGGATGGATGACGGACGCCACACCATGACATAAGCTCACTTGCACTTCGGGCAGGTGTGCTAAAAATGCAACAATATAACATACAAAGCTACAGTTGTGTGACAGCACAATGCACCAAAAGTTGTGTGCACACACTATGCATACATCGTGTGCACACCCTACGCACATGGTGCACACAACTGTGCAAGTTAACATTGTTTGTCCCGGAAGTCTTATATGGATAAGGAACAATGAATGTATAAATTTCTTATCATATTAATTAAGATAATGTTCAGTTTACAAAAAACAACTGGATGTGTAGTATTAGTTATTTGCATTCGTTTTGGTCTATAGCTCCCTGTCACCTGGATTTTTACACTTTGACAATTACATAAGTGCCCCAGATAAGAAAAACTATGGTCCATGTACATGTACAAAGTGGCCATGTTTACCTGTATATGCATTTTATTATTTTATATGTGTCAATTTGGGTCGTTAAAAAACCCACCAAAACACCATTTCTAAATTAAGGAAATCATAAGAGATCAGCTTATATATGTGGGTAGAATATAGAAACATATTTAACAAAAACAAGTTTGTATGTTTAAACACGAAACCATTTATATTGTTAAGCCATCTCTCAATTTACACACCATGATTGTCATCGCACAACTTTCGCCCATCTTCCGCACAAATGTGCCCAAGCAAAAGGCGTCTAGATTTTTATCGTTCGCACATTGTGAACACATCGCCTGCACATCGTGTAACACTGTGTGTAATTTGAGCATTTTTGTTTGTGTTGAAATGAAATTTGAAGTTGGGGTTGCACAAATTACATAGCCATAGATACATTTTTAAGTTTTTATCTTCAGAAAGATCGTCGATTTGCATAGTCCGCCATCTTGAGAAGACGGTATTTTCTTCGGATAAGTTTGTACACAGAACTTGAAGACATAAGAACATATAACTATTCATTCTGAATTATTAAAACTGCAAAATAGATATTTGTGTTGCTATATGAATTTATAAGGAAATTAACGTAGTTATTAAATCAATTAAAAAAAAACGAAGTTGGCAAACACGGTAACGTAGATGCAAATAAATTACGTTCTCAACGGTTAACATTTTGGCAGCAACGTTATATAATAAGTTAGGCAAGATAAAACAGTTTACAGAAACACTGCAATTTTAAATTGAATAAATGTGCAACAAATTTTGTTACAAACCTGTCTTTCAATTCCTGCCATGAACACACCGCATCATGTTTCAATAGTAGTCTACTGTCCTGATAAAATATCTTGTTTTGTTTGAGAAAATATTGCACTCCATCTTTTGCCGGTCATAAGCTTTAAGCCATTCATTGATAGTATAAAATGATATAATGTGTATTATTGTTTTATCTCATGAGCAGCTGGACGTTGATCTTACCATCAGTATCGCAGCTGCCACCACAAATCCTGAAAAGAAGTCTTTTAGTTGTACTAGATTGCGTTGTGGACCTTGCAATACCCTTCCTTGTTGTTCAACCACATTACGACCAACCAGTCTGTTTTCTTTCAAATTTTGACCAAATATCTCAAACTCTTCTAATATCTTATTGTTTCGTTCAGTGTTTAATGTCTCCTCCCTTGTCTTTAGCTTTTCTGCATAGTATTTCTCCAAAACTTCTCTGCAAAACAAACCAGTAAAGATGACATGAAACAAGAATTATGACACCTTTCAATACATAAGTATAATAACAAAACTTACATATCGAATAAAACAATCAAAATTAAAATGAATAATGTTAAATCAATTTCTAAATATAATGCATTGATACCTTATTCTAATAAGTTCATATTGGTAATCAGTTACCCGTCAAAAGCACAAGTTTTTGACAAACTTTCAATGTTTTTCTCAAGTGATGCATGGTATTCACTGGTACTTGTCATACAGTCGTGACTTGATGGTCAATGTCACATGAAAAAATGTCCTGGTAGAATGTGTGTGCTATCTAGTCGACAGGTAACATATTTCCACTGCAATATCTAAATGTAGACATCAGTACCTGATAAAGATGTTGACCTTTGGAACTTCCTGCCATGGGGAGCGACAATCAGGGCATTCTAAACGCTTAGAAGTATTGTACCACTCCGCTAAACAAAGCCTGCAGAAGGTGTGGCCACATGCCAAAGAGGAGGGCATTACCAGCAGTTCATAACAGATGTGACACTTGATGTCCATATCGTAGCTGGAGGTCTGTCGCTCTAATGGGTTTGGTGAGGTTGTCATTTCAGTCATTGTTTCTTCCTATCGTTCTTCTGCAATGTCCATCACAAATCTTGAGCTGTCAATCTCAGATTGTAAACACTGTCCACCTTTCTAAAACACTTATCTGAAATGCAACAGAACATAATGAAAAAGAATTACTTCACATAAATTCATTGTCATATGTTAGATTTAAAGGTTGACTATACATAGATACAGATGAAGATATTTAGCGAGAACAAGTTTTGTCTTAAATCCAGTTAAATATTCCTCATTGACAAAGGAAGTCAATTTGAGTCAATAGTATTGTAAACCAAAAAATAGGATCATACAGACAGTAGGAAAACATTTTATTTGTGGAAATACATAGTGAAAGTATGAAAGTAAATACAAAGTTTCAAATCCAATGTCTATAGTTTGCACTAGTAAATGCATTGCACGTACAGTGATCAATCTTATAGTTTCTATAAATCCTTTTCTACTGTACATGTATTGTACATGTACATGTATTATCAAAAGTATGGGTCACATCACATTAAATTTCAGCATCTCTAGAAATTTTGAGTCTTGCCAAAATTGCATGAGTATTAGCCCGAGTTTCCTCTGGCCCCGACACCAGACTGAAGACATTATGACTGATAGAGGTCTGGTTAGCTCGAGTTTCCTCTGGCCCTGACACCAGACTTAGACATTATGACTGATAGATGTCTGGTGTGGGGCCAGCCTGAGCTTCTTCTGGCCCAGACAACAGACTAAGACATTATGACTGATATAGATGTCTGGTGTGGGGCCAGAACATGGATTTCTCCCACACCTTTTGGTGTCAGAAAGTTTTGAGGTGCTGACTACAAAAATCTGCTATAACACAAAATATGACTCACATTTGTCGATAAATGGTTTATTTATTTATCCAAAACTGTCTAAACGTTGTTATTCCTATTTTGATCTAGGTCAAACATGTACATGATACATTTTATGCAAATAATTATAATCTGTGATTAATCATTTGCCTGGTATCAACGTCAGTGTATATAGTATGAGATGGGCTCATAGCGTTTCCTCAAAATATTGTTGACTTTGTCTGAAAACTAATGTTTTAATGCAGAATTTTAGTGGCGCAAAATTGCAATGAATAATGAAATTAATGAAACAACTTACCTGTACATGCATTCCTGAAGTATCTGTGTAGTGACTATTATCGAGAAAAATGTAAGAAAATTTGTCAAATCTCTAGAATAACGGCATATATTTCCACTGAATAAATCACAACTGAGCATAAAGCAAACAAGGCTGACTGAAGTTGGAAAAAAGCATGCAAAGCAAGTGCGATTTTACCTGTACACACTTCAAAACACTGCAGATTCTTACTCAGGTAATCTGGCTTGACTTTATCAATAGCCTTGTTAGCTTCATGAATTATTGTAAAATATCCAATGAAAATGACATGCCATCATTCTTGAGATTTGAAGTAATTTCTTACATTTTGCTTGATAAAAGCACAGACTTAGATAGCATCTAATCTAATTCCGTGACAATAGTCAATACACGGATAATTCAGCAATGCATGTACAGCTAGGTAAGTGTTTTCATGATCATGAATTATAATATTCAATGCAATTTTGCGCCACTAAAATTCTGCATTCAAAAGTTACTTTTCAGACAAAATCAAGAATATTTTCGACAACTAATTTCTGCAAAGGTCATGATTGACATTGTTCTTGACATGGGTGTTACCAACCAACTTCCATATTTTTTTCCTTTTGAGGAAGTTATAACAGACTGTAATATTATAGTATGTGATGATCACATACTATGATATTACAGTCTGTTGAGCATTACTTTCAAGCATTTCTTACTAAAAGCAGATAAATGCCATAACAGGACATAACCATCATTTCCCATTAATACGTCGTATATGTCGGTCTTGGGAATTCCAATATATTATCGGGCGGCGATCTGATGCAATATAAAGCAAATACATTGCGCAGCATAAATCCCTATTCTCCAAGCATTGTATTATGAAGCAGTTGTTAGTTTATCTACAGTAAATATTTTACACATATACAGTAACACTGATGTTTTGTAGTAACATATACCCGGTAATAAATATAAGATGCTCTGATGTCAACACAGCTTGAAGTCCAACAACGATACCCCAACAACAGTCAAATCGAAACCATCGTCCCTTATATCAAACAAAATAATTAAGTGCGAATACTGTTTTAAGCTAACGATTGCAAATCACTACGTATTTATTCAGTTTTGATTGTTTAATGAATTATGATATTAATTGTCATAAGTAGTATGTTCTTTTGAGGTTCTGCTAAACTCTTATTATTATTATCATAAGCGGCAGGGAAAATGGAGATCACACGAAAAAGTGGGTAATTTGATTGTAGCCAGCCAAGTGTCGAGCTGTAACATAGTTTGAGTGTTGAACATAATAATTCTGTTTTGATAACATCAATGACATCTCGTAGTGAAATTGCAATTATATTACTGCTGTCTGTGCTGTTTCTTATGACACACCATCAGAAAAGATAACTTGCACAGGAGCGGGACGATTCGGCGAGACTATGGACATAGCATATCATCTCATCCAAAGACACACACAAACACTCATTCTTCCCATACAGTATACATGACACTATGCAATCTTATTCCAACTACTATCATTAAAAATACAACTGAAAAGCTCAAAACAAGCACCACATACATGTATGCATAAAAATATGTACATAGAAAAAACAGCAAATTCATCCCAATTTCAACCCATTTTTTATCCCGTAACAAAATACAAACACAAAAGAAAAAAAATGACTGTATATACTGCACAATTCCCAAAGTCCATTATTATCAGTATTAATGGAGGACTTGGTGGCGATATTTCCAATAATCTTACATGGAATAAACATATAAATTGAGTTAGCACAGCTAACAGAAGTACTAATTAGTAATATTAATACCCGGCCGAGTATTTAAAAATAGATCCCATGCATTGTAATAAAGCAAGACCGATGAGGATCACACTGGGGCAATCTTAGACTAATTGACAGCACATTGGTCCGCATCCATAAATAGGTTTGTAATAGTTATAAACTATTTAAAAATATAAACATCTGTTAGTGCCGTCAGCTTGCCTAGACCCTAGCAAGCCACCCCTGTTTTTAACTTCAAATATTTCATCTTTAACCTGAAACATAACTGTCTACAAATTAATTACCATATAAACAATGTATCGCTTCCACTTTCTATTACTTTACTACTGCCAGTCCAGTAGTAGCCCTAGCCTGCACTTATTAGAACACCGTTTTTAACAACCTGCACTGACGCGCACGCTGCACAGAGTACTCGAAAGAGGGCGTTGCAGTATTCACAGATAGATAGATATTTCTGTTGATCTCCTATGTTACTTGAAATCAAACTCTGCTTAAAATATTGTTAAATTATCAAGTTATAAGGTAGCAAGGGCAATCAAAATCTGAATTGACTGCCATGTTTGAAATTTTAATTGTCTCTCTTTTCCGATATAAGTCAGACGTCTATAGATGGGTGTCATGACCCAATATGGAAATTGTAGTAAACATGGCGGCATCAGTAGTATACTACTGTATTTGGCCATTCAGGCCATATATAGAAATGGATATATATATATAATTGAGATAACATCACACCTGATCTGTCATAGCAGTCGTTTCAAATTTTTCCCCCAGACGGACTTGGCTAATTTCATCTAAGGGTTATTTTATTTAATAGTATTAAAGGATTCATTATTTAAACAGTTGTGCAATATTTTGATAACATTATGAGGCCTGCTTTATATGTAATCTTACATATTAGACACCTTTGATTTTGCTCCATTAGTTGGCATAGGACCACTTCGTAGCTCTGACGATGCAATATATAAAAAAAAATGTCTCGTCGTCAGAAGCTACATTATCACTGCTAAGCTTACAGGTCATTAGGTTTTCTGTAAAAAATAGAAGTACTGCCTACACTTCATTCGTTCACCCACAACTTGAGTACTCTGTCTGCATATGGGACCCTCCAATGCAACAGCTAATTACATATGTTATCAATTGGAGATGGTCCAGCGCAGGGGCCGTGATGTGGGTACTTTATGTGACTACTCCCCTTTCGAGTGTCTCCGACATGTCGGGGAGACTGGGATGGCAAATCCTACGGTCATTTGCAAGGTTGTGTCTTTTCTACAAGATTGCATGTTCACCAGCTGGATGCTGTTACAATTGCGATGTCACAATACATAGTACAATGTATATATATCCCCCAAGATATTCCAGTCATGCACGTCAACTTTTCATACACACAAATACCAACAACCAAAGACTACAATAAATATTTCCCTTAGTCATAGTGCAATGGAATGTCCTACCAGCAGATATAATTAGAAGAATATAAAACTTGTAATCATGTTAAAAATATATACTGAAAGACATTAAATACTGCATGTATTAAAATGCCTAAACTTATAAAAATAACAAAATGTATAGGTAAATACATATGGTACATATGCATGTATCCTACCAAATCACATCAAAACGACAGGCTTTTTGTTTTGATTGTTACCCAGATAAGTATTTTTGTATATATGAACAGGTATCATATTTAAACTAGCTTTAGGAATTGGTGTACATGTATTGTGCATTTGCAATGTGGTACCAGTTTAATTTATTATATATGTTCTATATAAGAAGGTATGTCTTTATTTAATTGTCTGCAGGGCCTTTCCTAGCCTGTTAGTGATGTTGTTATTTATCATTTCCGAGTACAGTGTTATATTGCTTTGATATGGAATTTATTATTGTATATTTCAGATTTTAAACAGACACTGAATTTTGTCATAGAGTCAATTAAAGATGCTGATTTTTTGGCTGTTGATGGGGAATTTACAGGTAAGGAAAACTCCGTATTATAAACCAGAATTGCAGCTCTCAATTTTCATACAGTTGTGGTACCGCACAACGCACCAAAAATAGCGTGCGCACACCGTGCATACATCGTTCACACACCGTCCGCACATGGTGCTGACAACTGTGCGATTTAACAATCGTTCGCCCCGGTGTGCGCTTCTCTCCGCACAACTGTGCGATTTGGTATCATTTGTAGATCAAAATTACGGAATGACAAAAATACGGAAGGCTTGTATGCGATAATGTACACTGTGTATATATCTGTAATTTCTCATCACAATAATCAAGATTATACAATTTCACAATGCGTGTTACACAGTATTACAGCGACCGTTAGGCTGTCAAGAATGGGTTTGGCTCCAAGGTAACAGAACAGGTAAATAACAATTTTATGAGTGTCCAGAGTTTTACCTGACCAGTGCCTGACACACAGAGCTGATATGCGATACCGTTTGACCGTAATGAATAGTATTTGTTATTTGCATTCGTTTGCCTATACCTCCCCTTCACCTGGATTTTCACACCCCCTGCCTTACCCGACGAGTTACGTAAGTGCCCCAGGCGGGGAGAAAACTACGGTCCAGGTACATGATTGTACAAAGTGGTTATGTTTACCTGTATACAGGATTGTGTTGTAATTTTACATGTGTCGATTTAGTTTGTTTAAAAACACAGAAAACACAATTTCTAAATATAAGAATGTATAGACAGAAAGATAAGTTTATAGATGTTGCTAAAATATAGAAACATACGTAAACATCAAGTGTATATGTTTAAACACGAAACCGTATAGATTGTTAAGGCATTCCTCAATTTACACCAAGCACGATTGTTATCGCACAACGTCCGTCCATCGTGCGCACAGATGTGCGCAAGCAATGAGCGTCCAGCTTTTTATCGTTCGCCCATCGTGCACACACCGTTCACACACCGTGCACACATCGTGCGCACACCGCACATCCTGTAACGTTGTGCGATCCCACAACTGTAACTAAGAGTCTAAGTCATGAAATAGAATTATTTTCTGTACTTTTCTGAAGACAATAATGTACATTATAATAAATTACTCTTTCTATTCCACCTATTACTGGAGAATTGGGTAAAAATTTACTATGACGTTTGAGTCATTGTGAATATGTAGCAATGAATAGCATATTCTTACAGATTAATAAAGGACATATTTGGAAAGAATGGAAAAAAGTACACGTATACAAATGAGATTCTAGCAGAAATATATACTGTAGAATAGTGGTGGTGTGCCAAATCTTTGTAGAGAGTTTCTTTAATAACTGACTGTTGAATCTCACTTGAAAATATTGTTTACCAGTTTCTTTTTTGTGTGTTTCTCTTTTGTATAGGGTTGGATGCAAACCAGTCTGGTCATGCCATGCCATTTGACACACCAGAAGTGCGTTACCAGCGAGTGAGACAGGTATTTTGTCATACACGGGCACTTCTACACCTCTTTTAATTACTTTACAGTTAAGATATGGTGCATATGTTAATTTTGTCATAGACCCAATAATTGAATACAATTCTATAATTCATCTTATATGTGTGATATTTTATTTGATTAGCATATCTTACCAAAATATGTGGCTTTCTTTATTCTCTAACGCTTTACTGTTAACATACGTGTAGTCCCCATAGCAACATATACACTAGTTTTCCTTGACTAAAAGAATTAAGATGTGATCTACTGATCTTTTGTGGTGATGAATTACATGTACAGTAATATGAACTGAACTTTTATATTGATAGAGGCATTATAACTTTATAGGTTCATATCACAAATGAAATGTCATTTTCCTAATCAAAAAAAATCTAACTTTTATTTTCGCTTCAACTTCGTAATCACAAGTATGAAACATTTCGGTTATAATGTTTTTGAGAATCATTTATGCCCCTTTCTGGTATATAAGTACATAAAAACACATACAAAGTATAATAATTTAACAAATTTAAACCTTGTAGTTGTTGTAAAAGCAGTTTATTCATAATAGGATAAATATTTTTCTTTATTTCATTTTCAAAATAATTTACATGTACCCGGTAGTTGTTGATAATTGAATAATTTACTATCTTTTCTTCAGTTTTGTACTGTAAATTGATATGTAAAGATTTAAATACATACTGACTTATACAGATATATTGTTCTGTATACATTTGTACATCTACGATTCTAAATATTACAGCAGATATTTTGTTTAATTCTTTTTTCAGGGTGCATGTGACTTCCTGCTTCTGCAGTTTGGTATTTGCACCTTTCATTATGATACAGAAAAGAAATCGTAAGTCACATTACAATTGACTGTTACAAATCACATTACAGTTAAAATGAATGGGAATGGTGTTAATACTGCAGAGTAATGTTTTTGAAAAGTTTTACAAACATGTTAACATGTGTTGTATGTATACCCCTGTTTCAAACAAACACATTGCTTATCTATATACAACATCTTTGGTATGTAGCTAGGACAGGTATGACATGAGAAGTAGAAGTGTTGCTTCCTTCATTTAATATTCGACCTTGACTTTAATAAAACTATTTTTCTGGACCTTATCTTGGCTACTGTTTGATGTGCAGACTTAAGATATTATATATACTGTAGGAACAAAATGAAAATGTACTGTGTTGCTCACAAAAATGGGAATACTGCAACTTCCTTGATATGTGACCTTGACCTCAAATATCTTGGTCACAGTTTCATTTGTGGTCTTAATACTTGGTGTAGGTACAATGTATGAGGGAGCACTGTACAATGTGTTGCTTACCAAAATAAACCTCATTTATGTATTGTTTCATTCAAAGACATGGGGTGCTAAGGTATCCACAAAGCTCGTGCTTGCAGTTAAATTTAGCTTTACATGTTTTAACTTGATGATGATAATAATCTTTCCTGTTTACCAGTACTTTGCTAATTTCATCTTTTTACTTACAGGTATGAAGCCAGGCCATTTAATTTCTACCTTTTTCCTCGCCCATACTCACGATCAGGTCCTGACGTTCGCTTCCTCTGCCAGGTATTTGGTTTATAATTAAATTAGACTGGTTTTAATTCAGTATTCACTGTAAACCAATAACGATTTACTAAACCATACTACAGGCTAAGGTAATGTTATGTCATTGTCAGTTGAACGTAAAAGGAAATATACTCTTCTGTAGGCATAATTCATTATTAAAAGTCTTAAATATATTCGTTGAACATCAATCTCTGGACTAATCAATATATAGTTGTTATAAGATATCATGTGGTTAACATGTTTGACTGAAGCATATAGTGATGGTCATTAGTGTGTCATGGGTAGATCATGGAACATGGAAACCAAATGAATTGAGATGATATGGTGAATCTTGTAAGTAATAGAAATAAAAATAAATGAGATATGTTGCAGTTTGTATACACAATTTTTTGTTTGTATTTTTGCAGAGTTCGAGTATAGAGTTCCTAGCATCTCAAGGATTTGATTTTAACAAAGCATTTAAACATGGTGAGAATAATGCATTCTACCGTATATTAACATGAAATGTACAAACATTTGTGGTTTTCATGGTTTGGAACCATATACCACAAATTTAGTTGATATACTTGAGATAAGTCTTTAGCGCCCCCGAAGACAACACTATTTACAACCCAGGTTCGGGTGTCTCCTTGCTAAGCATTCACCCAGTGATTGAAACAATAGCTTGAAATGTAACAGCCAGACTGGGATTTGAACCAGGTACCCTCCACTATTACATAAGTAGTGATCCTCAATTTGTATCATCCTAGGAATTCCTTTATGTTCTATGTTTCCTGGAATACAATAAATGTCATGATGAAATCGAAAGCTCTGTATATAAGCCACCTTTTTTGATGATAAAAATAGACTACTGGTATAAAATGTAGTTTGATCCTTTGATGTGGCAGAATTATAGTAAAATTACCTGGCTTTGAAGTAGAGTGTCACTTCTAACCAAGTGAGGAATTGTGCTAGGTTTGAGACATTGTTCGATCTAGGGGTGATGAAAATAGTGTGATGTAAGTGTCCTGCTGTCAAAATTGTTGAAAAAAATATCAGGTTTTTTAAAAGAATATCTAGGAATAATTTTACACCCGTTTCTGAAAAAGCACCCCCAAAACAGTATACATTTGTTATTGTGATTTCCGTTATCTATTTCTGTGTAATATATTTTAACTTTTATCAGTCTGTTTGGCCCTATGGACAGGTTTTCATCAAACCTTTATATAAATTCAGTATTTGATAAATACATTAATGAAAACTTATTTGTTTATTTGTTGTTGCCTTTATTTAATGTGTCTGTGACATGATATTGCTTACAGGTATATCTTACCTGAAACCCAGTGATGAGGCTAACCTCCGAGAGGCATTACAGCAGAAACACCAACAGTTTTCACAGTTCTCCTCTCCAGCATTCGTCACACCAGACGGAGTCTCTCAGGGCACATCAAAGGGGCCAGTCACGATCCCGGATGAACAGAAGGAGTTCATCAAAGAAATTAGGTAATAACTGTGATACACATTGGTGAACAAACATATCTTGGGTATACTGTCTCGTGTACAGTAGTGTATTTATCCATGAAAGCTTCATACAGAGTTCTTCCATAAAGGTTAGACCTTATTTAAGTTGTAAGTCACATTCTTCCAAACAGGATATGACATTTCAGTGAACCTGCCAGAGGACGTTATAAGTTTGCAATCCATTTGTCTGTTTCCATCTGCACTTTCATAGTCTGTCCTCAGAGTTTAGTTGCGACATACCTTGTACTATTTCTCCTGAAGTTACCTAATTTGTTACATAGGTATATGTTTGAATGGCAGACTGTCACATACCAAAAGTAGGTCACCATGACCTACTAATGTATTCTGACCTCTAACCCCAATCATTGAAACATATTGTGTGAGATAATATTTTCTGTTATATTTCATATATACAGTATGAATGTTTTAGTTTGTCGACCCACACAATGTTCCTCGGGCCTTCTTGACCTGATTTTGGCCTGATTGTATTTCTTGGACCATCATACATTGTACATACTCAGTCATTTTCATTTTCCCTATTCTTGCTTCAATTAGAAAGAAGAACATAAAGTTTCTTTTGCTTTTCTATGCTCTTGTCCTTTATGCCACAAACTTTGAATTTGTAATCAGAATCTATACTACTTGTTAATATGTCATCAAATCATATCACTATTAATGGGTATTTTTAGCAGACCATTTCAGACATTAGAAAGCTGATTTACTATGATGTATCAGCATGCTTTTATGATGTTAAATGTTTGATTCTGATATAAATGGACTGTTTGGTAATTAAAACAATCATAACATGTATTAGGATTCCCTAGCAATATTTTTTTTGTTTTCCATTTTTTAATCTGGGAGATTAATATGTGACAACTTTTTTTCTTTTTAGAGAAATTCTGTGATAAAGACCAAATTAAGAATGAATCTATCTAGTAGTTATTGTTTTAAGTCCACATGTCTTATTTTTTATTTTATTTTTTATTTCAGTGAGAAGGTTTCTGATTTCATTGAAAAGTCCACGGATAACAGTCTGAAATTACCATCCTGTAATGGTTTTCAGAGAAAGTTGATTTACCAGTCATTACGAGCTCAGTAAGTATAGGTTAAGCGAAAGCCGATATAAATATTCCAGTTATTATGATGCCATTACAAATTGCATGGGATAGTATCATAATACATCATATCATTTGATAAACCTGTTATTACAAACCTGACAGTAAGTCTTGTTGAGAGAAAAAAGTCTTAACTTTAGGGCAGTTTTGGTCATCTGGTTAACTCTCCAGCCTTCAATGCCAATGAAGAACGGAATTAAGAAAAAAAGTGTAGCTTTACTCACACAACTCTGATAACCCAGATGGAGTATAAAATGGTCTGTGGAAGGTACTACACTAGTGTGTTGTAACATTTGTGAGGTGGCATTATGGCAAAAAAAACTGATGCTACTGGAAGCACACCCTGAAACACCTCCAATACTCACAAAGGACACATGAATATGGAGGTGTCAGCAAGGTGGCCTAGTACCAGTAGTTAGTGCTTGATAAGGCAACCTTTTTGAGGTCTTCGTATTGATTTTATGAATTATATATCATATCTCTGTTTCTCTGGTTTGTAAAGTATCTGTGGCTGATTTATTATATAATTATGATTAGATATAGTGTTTGATCAAATATTGTATACAATTATTTTCAAGCTCCTTAGTATTTTTGACGACAGATTGATATATTAGTTTTTGCAAGCTCTGTAAAAAAAATTAGGAAACAAGTTTAGAGAATGCACTTATCTAATATTTGTTGTACTATACAGTATCAAATATGGGATACAAAATTATTTTCTTCAGTATTTCATTATATAAAAGGAAGAATTCACTGTATGAATTTAAAACATGATGTATTAAAACTTGTAGAAAACTTGTACAAAATTGTCAAGAACATGAAATCCTTGATTCAGGTTTCCATCAGGTATACACTTGGAGACACAAACAGGTGAAAAGAAGGAACGTCATGTCCTTGTGACCAGGATAAAGAGTGAGGACGACATGAAGAGACGAGAGACGGAGAAGCAGGCCGCAGAGGTGGTGAGTATACCATACTTCAAAAACATTGGTTCCTCAAAAATAAAACACATTTAAACAATAGATCTATTTTATATCTTTGTGTTTTAGGAACTTCTTTTACTGCTACCTGATTGTATTACATTTATATATGTCAAACACAAATTGCAGTGCTAATTTTACTAAGGATTGTCCAAGTGATTGCTTTTTGTTCATTAGCCGATTGGTCTCACACATTGGCAAACACTGGAGGTTTTTTGGCAAATGGTCAATGAAAGTTTGTTGTTCCCTTATTGTGTTCTGAAGAATCATTTTCCAACAGATGAAATTCTGTCTCCTGGCACACATACTGTTCTTATCGACATTATATATCAATCCATATACTTGTTAGCTCACCTGGCACAAAGTGCCAAGTGAGCTTATGCCGTGGCGCGGCGTCCGTCGTCCGTCCGTCCACGTCCGTCAACTTTTCCTTTAAACAGCTTCTTCTGAAGAACGGACAGGCCTAGAGTCATGATATTTGGCTGAAAGCTTCATTGGTAGGAACCCTACAAAGTTTGAGAACGAAAATGACCTTGACCTGTTTTCAAGGTCACAGGGGTCAAATATGTCAAAAACTTCAAACGACTTCTTCTGAAGAATTAAAAGGTATAGAATCTTCATATTTGGCTGATGGCTTCCTTGGATGGAGCCCAACAAAGTTTGAGAATGAAAATTACCTTGACCT